AGCTGGGCATACATTTTTGCCGTTAAAAAAGCTTGGTTTAAAATTTTGGTTGATATAAATTTTTTAAAGTCAGACATAAATTTTCAAAAATCTAAAAACTGGCCATAAATTTTTGCCGTTAAAAAAACGTGGGCTCAAGTCTTGGCCACACAAAAATGGTCTTAATTTTATTATTGATATACATTTCAAGTTGGACAAAAATTTTCAGTATCTAATTTGAAAAACTGGCCATACATTTTTGATGTTAACAAAAACCTTGGCTTAAAGTTTTGGCCACTCAAAAGTGGTCATAATTGTGTTACTGATATAACATTTTTCAAGTCAGACATACATTTTCAGTAATTTAAAAAATTGGCCATAAAGTTTTGTCGTTAAAAAAGTTAGCCTCCCGTTTTGGTCACTCAAAAATGGTCATCAATTTTTTGTCGTTTAAAAAATGGACATAAATTTTCGGCCAATTATATTCAGTTAAATACAGGCAAGTTAGTTTTTGAAAACTAAGCATACATTTTTGTTCGTTAAAAAAATTGGCCAAATTTTTTTCACTTAAAAATAAGCACAAGCAAGGCAATAATTGCCGTTGTAGCTGAGTGGTTAGTGTGGCATACTACTACTCTGTACCATCTGGGTTGGACATTAATTTTTGTTCATTTAAAACAAGGCCAAAAATTGTTGATTCAAACACTGGACATAATTCTTGAATATATAAAAATTGGACATAAATTATTGCTTTTTTCAAAACCGGGAATAAATTTTTAATAAAACTATTTACTCGCTTAAGATGTGACTTAAATTTTTTTTACTTCAAAAAACGGCAAAAAGTTGGTAATTTAAACGCTGGACATAATTCCTGGTGATATAAAAGCTGGACATATATTTTTGGTCTCTTCAAAATTGGTAATATAAAAGTTGGACATAAACTTTTGGTATTTTCAAAATCGGATATACATTTTTGTTGTTTAAAAAAGTGGGCTTAAAGTTTTGAACATTTAAAAACGGGTCACTCAACTGGACACGAATTTGTGGTTACTTAAAACTGGATATAATTGGACATACATTTTCGGTGAATAAAAAATAGATATATATATATATATATATATATATATATATAGTACATATATGTATGTACATATTTTCAAAACTGTGCATACCTATACATAAATTCTTTTCATTAAAAAACTTAACTGTCTAACTTTCTGGTCAATTGAAAATGGACAAACATTATTGGTCACTTGAAAATGGACATAAATGTTGGTAATTCAAAACCATGACACTCATTTGTGATAAGTTAAGGACTGGTACTTAGTTTTGGTAATTTAAAATCCACAAACGAAACCACTTTTTTCTTTTCATTTTTTAATCATAAACATATATATGTACGTATAGCGAGCAAGAGTTTTTCTTTCTTTATGCAAAAACGCACTAAAAATTTTAATTTTATTTGAATGCATATGCGCTATAAACTGCAAGTTTGGCCACGCTCACAAGTAAAAAGCTAGATACTGTTTCGAAAAATTACTCGTACAAAATAAGAATAATATTAAATAATTATAACCTACTGGAAAATCAGACAAAATTGATGATGTATTACAAATCGAATTATATATTACAAAATATATGGCTAATCAAATTGTGGGATTGGCTCATTTCAGAGTTATGCCTTAACTGCTAGCATTATGTGTCATTTATCACATTTTATTGATTAAAAGTAACCTTGAATAAAATGATTCATGCTATGTAAAAAATCTTAACATACTTAGTAGGGTTTCCCCCTAGAAAGACAAAGAAGAAAGGAAAATATTATATAACACTTTGTGACAAAATTTGACTGGTGGTATCGCACACAGAATAAGGTCCATAGGGTAAGGTGAGTTGAGGTGAGTTAAGGTGAGTTGAGGTGAAATAACATTAGTTGAGTGAGTTGAGTTGAGGGGAGTTGAAGTGAGGTGAGATGAATTGAGTTGAGATGAAATTAGGTAAGCTGGGGTGAGATAAGTTAAGGTGAGTTGAGGTAAACTGAGAGGAGTTGATGTGAGATTAGTTGAGCTCAGATGAGGGGAGTTGAGGCGATTTGTATTGAGCTGTTGTGAGTTGAGGTGAAATGTGTTGAATAGCATAACATAACAGATAACATAACATGACAGAACATAGCTTTACATTACTTTATATAACGTAACACAAAGTAACATAACATATTATAACGTAACATAACAGAACCTAGCTTTACAGTACTTCACATAACGTAACATAAAGTAACATAACATAACATAACATAACATAACATAGCATATCATAACATAACATAACATACCATAACATAATATAAACTATCTCATCATATAGTTTTATCTTGTTCTTTGTCTTTATGAAGTGAGATTTTCAAGCATATTTTCGGTTTATGAAGAATTCTTTATTTATGAATGCGGGTGTTGGTTAATATATTTTCGAAGCTATCTAGAAAGTCGGTAAAGTACCGAGACTACATACCGCTCACCTTCTTCAAAGGTGTGTTAATTAAATATTTGGCGCAAAAAATATTCAAATACCGTATATTTATCTTCCATAAAAGGCGGAAGTCCAATTTGTTTGGCAATTTGCAAAAAAATATGCCTACTTTACAAATACTACAGTAATAAAACAAAAATTCTTTGAGGGCGCCGAGAAGCAGGGGTTTATTTGCCAGTTGAAGATATCGATTTAACTGAATACAATTTTTCAAATAGGTGGCAACCCGCCTCAAAAATATTTTCGACAGTAAACAGTAGATAGCTGGCAACCCTCCACAAAAATAATGTACACACATTGGTCTTTTACAATTTTATTATATGTATGGATGTATGTACATATGTACCTCCTTCTTGATGATTTTGTTTGTGGAACAGTGTAGTAATGACACCTATTACATTTAAAGTTGTGCCCAATAATAATAAATGATCTACTTAATAAATGGGCCAAGTTTTTTAGTTTTTCTGATTAAGAAGAGAAGCAAGTTATTTGACCAATTTTTTTTAGAGAAATATAACTAATTTTCTTAACACGTATAAAGTGTATTGCTAATTAAAGGGCTTTAGTTTAGGCCTACCATAGCTCAGTCTAAATTGGATTAAATTTATTGTGTCTTTCCATGTCCGAATTCTGGCAGGAGACACACAAAGCTTCTACAGTGACCAAAACATCGAACACTGAGTCTGAAATATTTCACGACACAGTTCTTAAAGGCCTACGTCTGCAGTGCCACGACAGACTTCGAGTAAGTTTTCTTCGGATATCTTCCGTACACGCTATGACCCAACAGATTCTAAGTAAAAGATAGTTACTTGTGCTCGACCTGATAAATATCGTAACCCTAGCCAAAAGATTCTTAGCGAACTAAATTTCCCCAGCCTATATTCGAAGTTCTTATACAGTTTAGCTGTACTTTTCGTTAGTTCCTTTCATATTTGGAATATATTTGTATCTCTTTGAAGAGTACGGAACTTACATAAACATTTTAAACTTTGCAGACCTGCCTTAAGAACCTTGTTAGATTACAGTTTTGGTATTATCCAACGAGAAATGATAGACCTGAACGCCCTGCGATGACAAATCTAAACGACTTCAAAGCTTTTTGGAAGGTTATCTGGAACCGAATTGTTCGATGGCGTACAACTCTTGGTTTTGTTGACGGTAAAATCCTCCTTACTTAACCTTTTTTATCCTAGATCCCTAGTAACTAATGATTTAGATAATGCTAAATTGAGACCTTTCCCGCCTCTTGTCGGTTTTGACTGACGAATAAGATGCTCTTGGCTCATCTACTAACCCCTTCTGACATTGATAAATGAGATTGTGTCAGAATTTCTTCAGAATTATCGAGTGAACTCTGTAGAAATTAATTAAATTTTCAAAGCAACCTTGAAATGCAACCGGCTTCTCATCTGTGCCTGGTTTAATTCCTGCGCGGGATCTTTGGCTAGTCTTTTCAGAAGAGTGGGAAGCATCCCTTTCCGACTTAAAATTCCATTTGGAATTTTCTTCAGCCCATTGGATGAATTGCAAACTTGCCTTTTGACGCGCCGAAGCGGTTGATAAGGATACCTGCTTGAGTATCCTTGAGGTTCATAACAGATATATGTAAATATGTATGAACCTGGGTTCATGCCATCCCTCAATAGGATTTATCTTTGCTGCTCTTGGCTTCAAAGGCTGGCGAATGAGTTGTGTTGACCATTCAGAGAAATTAGCGTACCTATTTATCAGCGGCAATTTGCTCTAAGCAGGGCTTAACACATTGGGTTTAATGTAGTAAAATGTCACGTAAATGCAAACAAAAGTAAGTATGTAGTACGTTTTTTTTGCCCGTTTCTAAACAAAGTTAATTATACTTTCGCAATCTTAAAATAAAAACGTTGCACGTGTTGCCGTAGGCCAATAAAAAGTTGCATGCATTCACAGTGCATGCAACAAAGTATGCCCACAAGTTTATCGCCTTTTAGTGCTCAACCACAATCAAATGTCAATCAAATTTAACCCTATTTGCGCTACTCATATTTACATACAATAAATTAAATAGCACAGGCCACATAACTCATACATACACACGTACATATGTATGTATGTACATATTTATTTATGCATAGTTACATTAGCATTACATATGCACATACTTGCTCGAGTAATGAAAGATCAACAGTTGACACTTGTCAATATGAATCAAGTGACCAAACAAATCCCTTTGCAACATGTGGGTGGATACTCTTAGATTTACTCACGCAACTGTCTAACAGCACCGTATGCTACTTTGTATGGCTAAAAATTATATTAAATGCGCTTATAAAATCGTTGGCGGCGCCAATGAACGCAGCAAAGTGAAAGTGTACGCGCAAATAATCGCTGATTTGCTGAGGTGTTGAAAATGAGAAAATGTTAACAATTAAATTCAATTATATATAACACTAAAATTTAAAGATCTTTTTCGATTTAAAAACATTTTTTGCTTGCGTGCATTTGCTGTGTGAAAAATGTTAACGGAGGAGCTTGTACCAAATCGTCGCCTAACAAGAATTTATCCGCGTGCGAATTTAATTACATTCGAAAAATATCAACAACAACAACAGCAACAGCAGCTTCAACATAAAGCAACAGCAAAAGAAGCGAGGAAAGCGAGTAAAGGTTTCAGAATTGTAAAAGAGCTAATTGGTGAACTCGGGCAGCAGACAAGCATCCCTGGCTTGAGTAAACCATTGGCACTTAATATGGGTGCAGTGGAGCGGTAAGCGGGTGTGAAGTGTTAATGTTTTACTGAGCTATGCATAAGAGATGGCCGTGTAATAATAGACTAAAAAAATTAAAAAAATAAATAATGATTTTGGTTATACGCTTTGCATTCGACACGAAGCAAAGTGGGTCAGACATAAAAAAAAAAAACGATTAAAAAACTTATATCAACAACCATGATAACTGACAGTGACGCTAGTAGGCACGAAAACTATTAATTAGAAATTGCAAGATTTTTACTAAACGTAATTTTTTATGAAAATTATTATAAAAATTATCTTTTTTTTCAGCGTGAATAATACAAATTAACGGCTTACGTCAATCAATGGCCTTTGGCTTAAAAATATTATTAGTCAAATAACCTGGAAATTTTTTGGATTTTTTTTACTAAAAGTTATTTGCTTTAAAACATTTTTTAATTTATTATTATTATTATTTATTTTTTTATATATTATAAACAAATAAGTATAAAGAAACTTTTTAAAATTTTTGTGCTTTGTCAGTTTAAAACATTGAATTATAAATTGATTTTGGTGAAAAAATTTTAAATTTTATTTTTTCAGTATTTTTTTAATTTTTTGTTTTTGTAATATTTCTGTTTGTTTTTTTTTTTACGAAAAAGATTTTAATTTTTTATAAAAATTTGTTAAAACTTTTTCTGCTGAAAAAACTGACTCCTTGTCAGGTGACCCGAATTTGAGAAGGTTGAGTTTTTTTGTGATTGTTTTCGCAAAAAAAATTAGGGTTCTCTTTTTTTTAATTTATTTAGATAACTTCTTCAAATTTACTATTAGACACCTTCTTCAACTTTAGTATTTAGCTGGCGAATATTCGTTTTATTTTTTTCTTTTAATTACTTGTTTTTGTATTTTTTTGTTGTGTTTCGGTCGAAATTTTAAAATGTTGTTTATGAGAAAAACAAGCGAAATTTTCGTTTTATTTCACATTTATGTATATATTATTTAATTTTTGTAAAAATTTAAATTTTTAATTTTAATTTTTATGAATTTGTTTTTATACCATTTCAAACTTGGTCGTTTAGAATTTTCATAACAAATACCAATATCGAGTTTTATTTTTAATTGAAACACTTTTTTTAATTTAGCCTTCAAGAAGAAAAAAAGCTCAACAAGTTTTCTAGATAAAAAAATAAAATAAAAAATAAAAAAATATATTAATAAGCACAAAGAATTAGTTAGACTGGAATAACTAGAAATTTTTAGCCAGAAATTCATTTGTTTAGAAAATTTCATAAAGTTGTCGATAATTTTTTACATACATAGATAAAAATGGATTAAAGCACTAGAAAAAAAAAAATAATAATAATAAAAGTTAAAGGGTCAGCTTTATAGGTTTAATTTTTATAAAATTTAATTCAGGTACCGCTCTCTAAGACTTAGAAATACGACTTGTTTTCAAAAATTTTAAAAATCCAAATATATATGTTGGTGAAATGAGTTTATATTTCATTTTTCCTAAGGACTTATTTATTTTTAAAATTCTTGTTTTCGAACTTAAGTATGGCACTTTAAATTATAAAAAAAATTTGTTTTATCTATAAAAATCGTAAGCCTAGCTAATTTGTAAAACAAATATGTAGGAATAATTAATCAACGTCACATTTAATTTAAAATACTTAAATTTTTAGGAGCTCGACAGCCACGTTGTATTCCCAATATTCCAAGAAAAAATTAAAAAAAATTTTAAATTGCAACGTAGCATATTAACTTATGTTCGGGACATAAAAAACCTAATTTGAACCAGGTCAAAAATTTTAAACTAAACCTTCAAAATTTATTAAAAAATTTTATAAAATAGTGAATTTTCAATTAACTTATTTTCGGGACATAAAAAACAAATTTAAACAACAACAACATTTTTATAAATTTAAATTTTTTTTTAATCATTAACTCCGCAAAATATTAACACATTTTCGAAACAAACCCCAAGCTGCAATGGCAGTGAGAGTTTCTCGAAATCAGCTGTTCCTGCTAATATTAGCAGTGGCTGCCAGAGCAAACACAATACGGCATCGGAATATCGGAACCAGATGTTTGAAATTTTACGATTTACGCTTTGAAAATCATATTGAAAAATTGTTACGATTAAGAAAATGGAGGTATCTATACCTGATAGATTTTGATGCATCATTGAAAACCAAAAACGTTAAGTCAATTTAAAAATATCTATACAATTTATTAAAAGTTTTATATTCAACTGAAGCCATTTTTTAAATAAAAAATCCAATCCAAACAGCTAATTCGAATTGTAAACAATAAAAAAAAAATTTTTTTGCAAAAAATTATTATTATTAATTTTTGTAGGCTTTTTTTTTCATTTGCGTTTTTTTCGATGTCTCAACCACTGTGTGCCAAAAAAATATTAGAGGTGTAAAAAAATATTTGTTTATATGGTATGAAAATATAGATACATATATATTTATAAACAAATTTAAATAAAATTCTAGACACATCACAGCTCAATTTGGGAATCCCAATTTTTGCATACAATTTGCACAGAAAATAATTTTAGGGATTTTTATTTTTTTTTTTATTGTTAATTCTTTTAAATTGATTTTTATTTATTTTGTTTTTACATTTCTACTCATTTTCCAAATTAATGTATTTTTTGCTCCTCTCTGATTTTGTTTTAATTTTTTGTATTTTTTGATTCAATTTTTATTAATTAATGTATTTTATTTCACTGTGTTTTTCTCATTCCATATATACACGGTCTCATTGAATCCCAACTCTGCACTCACTCAACTACAATTCTCTTGCGCTTCTATTTTCTTCCCTACCCTATTTTATATGTACTACATACACAATGACATCTTTCTCGCTTCCAGCCTCTTCTGGACGATCGGCTTTCTCTGTGCACTCGGCATGATGATCTACGTTATTCAAATGCTCGCCGCGCGCTACAATCGACAACAATTCAAGACGATCGTAAATGCCACGAATTATCCAATTTATCGTATTGTTTTTCCCGAGGTCTACCTCTGCAATCAGAATCGTTTGAATTGGGCGCGCTTCAACTCGGCAAAGGAAAATTATCTGCGGCGCGAACACCACAACACCGAGCTAGAGCGCCTATTCACCGAAGTAGTCGCACTTTATGACACTTTCTATTTTGGTAGTTTCGATAGATTCGAAAAATTGAACACCACACGACCGCTGCACGAATTGGATTATGTGAACTTCACATTGGTCGCACAATTTATGGCCTGGCGTTGTGACGAACTGCTCACCGATTGTGTGTGGCGTCACAGGCCAATGAATTGTTGTGACATATTTAGCGCACGTCGTTCCATATACGGATTTTGCATGTCCTTCAATACAATCGAAACGGCACAAGGACAATTAAGACAAAAATTAGACGATAAATGGCCGTGGCGTGCCACTCGAAATGGGCCGGGTAATGGCCTAAACGTGCGAGTGCTGATAAACGAACAGATGCATTCACCGTTCGCTTCGCGAGAGAAGGGCATTATGGTAAGCGGCGGGGAGGGGAGGTGGCTTAGGTGGCGTCAGTATAAAAGTTGCATTGCATTTGCCTTTGTTGTTAACTTTGATTTCTTTTCTTTTAATTTTATTATTATTTTTTCGTTTTATTTTTCACATCTTGTAGTTTATGCTCATGGAACCTGGCGTGTGGTGGAGTTATCCAAATCAAGTGCATGTAAACGATCAGATTAGGGTGAAACTGGATGCACAATTGAGTTTCTACGATGAGACAACACGGCGGCTATCTTCGCAAGTGCGCGAATGTGTTTTCGATGTAAGTGTAGTGGGCTAGAAAAATACTAAACAATTCTAAACAATAAAGCCATATTTTCATACATTTCAGGATGAACGAAATAGCCTCGATTTCAAAACGCTAATGAATCACAAATATATGTTCGAGAACTGTCAGGCGGAATGCTTGCAGGAGCATACTATGAAATATTGCAATTGCTCCTTGGACATTTTCTTTCCACCCAGTCAATATCCAGCTTGCAAACTGTCTGACATGCCATGCTTGGCGCAACATAATAGTGAGTGACATGCGGACATTAATTTGCTTGTGTAAATACTAATTTAAAAGACAAAATTTGCAATGAAATTTTCTTTGTTGTTTGCTTTGTAATCTTTTTATGTTCCCTTCAAGATCATTTAAAATACTTCGAACAAAGCGGTGAAAAAGATTCCATGCCAATTAATGTTAGTGCTATGGGTATGGTCTGTGAGTGCTTCCTAAATTGCCTGTCACTAGCCTATCTGATTGATGTTCGCACAAATGATTTGCCAACGATTTCTCAGCAGGAAAATAATTCTCACATGGATATGGACTTTTTCTTTATACGCGATTCAATTGTAGTTTTTCGCACAACGGTAATTTATACATGGGTGGATTTGTTGGGTAAGTAAATAGAGATGAGATAGCTTTTAAGATAAAATCTTCTTGTCGTTTGTTGTTAGTAGAAAATGAAATACATACTCTAGAAATATTGCATAACCATACAACGCCTTAAGCGACCCTTTATTGCGCAAAGCAATGTTTAACATCATTAAATCACGTCGAACGGTTAAAGGACTATGATTTGAGATTATGCACTAGGAAGGTTCGGCCCTTTATGAGAAATGTGCCTCTGTCCAGCTGATTGATGTCCTAGGGAAGCCTGAAGCAGGGATTATACGGCTACTACAAGTTCACTATTTTTATTGAGCTGAACTCAAGCTCTATTGACAACCCCAATATGTCTTTCAAAATGTACAAATCTGCGCGAATATACAAATCATGTGATCCCTGCTTAAGTCCGAGATCATCGTCATCCAATAATGTCGCTAAATATGTGCTACCTTGCGACGTCTACGATTGCTGTAATGCGCAAATCCCGTGTCGGAGGCAACAAGGCGACCAATGGCGTTTTCTAAGAGCGTTTGGAGTGCATTTGGCAGTGCTGCCTTATCAATTGTATTGCCACGCTGGACAAGGAAAGGATCCCTAGTACCGCTGTAGGAAAATTTAGTCTCTATGATGGAAGGTCAGGCAAGAGATTAAAAGCCAACTTAGTGGTACCATAGGTAAGGTATCTGTTGCATAGGTTTCTCGCCATAAGTCATAACTATAAGCAGCTCTGAATTATTTGAAGTATGGATTTGGCGTTGTTGGGCCGTGAGGCTGGTCGACATCACCGGCGACCAAGGCATGGTAGTCTGCAGCACTAGGTTCCAGCAAAAGAATATCATTTTGTGATAGAGGGCAGGCACGCTTCTACGGTATTGGATGACCGTACGCACCAAGACAGCGCGAGAGAACAAATAGTACGATGAGGAATGTCACGAGATTGCGATCGGGCGCATTGCGAGCTGTGCTGGATCGATTGAGGAAACTGCAGGGGAAGCGAGAGATATTTTCCGAAATAAAAAGAGATAGTTCAAAAACGTGAATATGTAATGCTTGAAATGCTGGCCGACAGGGAAAACGACCGAAGGTTTCAACACCAGCGTGAATTATTGTAAGAACATTCAAGGTGAACAAACTTTTTGTATAGTACTAGAAACTAGAGGAAAAAATTTTCCACCCCTTTGAATGGCAGCAGTATTGAGAAGATAACCCCAAGCCCACAATCGATGACCCCAAGACCACAATCTATGAAGTGCGAATAGCAATACGCGGCTGAAAAACGACAAAGCTGCTGGAGCTAGCGGCCTGCCAGCTCAGCTATTCAAGTAGAGCGGGATGAATGCGTGGACGGCGACTAGAATGTAAGTGTGCTCAGTGCAATCCACAACCTGGCAAATCCACCAAAGACCAGGCCGGACTTCAAAGCCGCTTTCGACAGCACTAAAAGGTTGGCAGTTTGTTACAAAAAAGAGTTTCAGACATGGCGACTCCCTTTCGTATGATTTCTTTAATCGGATATTAGAGAAAATAAAAAGAGCTGAAGTATTGAGCTACGCATATGCTACAACATATGTGTGAAGTTTCAAGGGTGTGCCACCAAATTACAAAAAATGGCAGCATGCGGCATAACTTTCGCAACTATTTTGTATTTTTTGAAATTCACCGATTTTTTTGATTATAAAAGTTTAAGATACTCCAAAATGTTAGCAATAAACGGTGAAAATGTTATTTTTGCCAAAACTAACGAATCTAGAGTAATACAAGTAATTTTTAGCAAAAAAAAAACCGACTTCAACTCTCATATAAAAAATATATATATATATATATATCTCATGATCTACTGCTCGGATCTTAACCAGATTAGTATGGGAGCACCTCTGAGACACTGCCTTTCCGATGCAAAAAGAAAATCGGTTGACGTGGTCAAAAGTTATGCGGTAACATACATGAAAAAAAAATAAAATAAAATAAATATTCCGACGAACTGGTAACCTCCTCCTTTTTTGGAAGTCGGTCAAAAACTAGACTGTGATCAAATGAAAAAGAATAACATTGATTAAAAGATGACGATGCTTTTCGAAACAAAAATTCCACTTTTACAATTATTATTGGCACACACGAAATTCATTCTAAAATTATTATTCACATGAATAAATTAGTAAGTACATTAGACTGCATCACTCATTATACAAAAAAAATAGTTACTGTGTTTCCATTGGAATTATAAAATCTATTATATTCTAAGAATACCACCAAAATATTACAGCAAAATATTAAGATTTACGTGAGCTGGAGCGATTTGAAAATACCTCCATAAATAGAGTTTTTATGAATAAAAATTGTTTGTTTAAAATTTTTTTGAAAAAAGTCCCTCCAATCACCAAACGGTTTGAGTTTAAAAAATTTGCATAAAGTAAATTTTTTTTTAATTTTCAACGGAATCGTAATAATGAGATACCCTTTTTATTTCTTTGCTAATAAACTCATTCAAAGGAGGAAATCGAAAAGTAGGATGAGCGAGTGTCATTCCAGGTTTAATTAAGGTGTGTTCGTATTTGAAAAAAAAATAAAAAATGGGACGGGAATGAATTTTTTCTTTTTGCACAGAAATAAAAAGAGCGGAAAAATACCTTTCCGCTGATACCCCACAGGTCTAAATCGGAATAGTATTAACCCACTTATTCATATATATATTCCTGAAGAATGCCATAGGAAAATATTCCACGGCATTATTTAATAACTTTTAAATAAACTAAATTTTTCATGCGCCCATAGTAAATGCATGGAAACCAAAAGTGAAAAGTGAACCGGTCGGGGAAAATGAAATTCATGATAAGGCTGAATATGATTTGAGTTAAGGGGTGCGAGTAAACGTGTTACCTGGCTGTGTATGATGCGACGGGGCGTATACGTTACATACACAACTACGGGTGTATGGGCTCGTGTTGTTATTTTGATTTTTTTCCGGTATTTTTAAACTACTTACCGGCGAAATCGCAAGGCGGTAATACCATTAAAAAATAGAACAGCTGATTTGATAAAAAAAAAATGTCCTCCATTTTATAGGGGGTGGACGGATGGTCAGGGACACACTGCATATTTAGCTGAATGTGATTGAAGAGGAAAGCTTCCTATTTAATGGAAAGACCAGGTGGCTTCATTTGACGTTGGCTGGCACAGAAGAAAAACGACAGGCTTGCTGTATTGACTCGGCCAAAGTGGCTTAGGCGGTTACAAGACCAACTAGAAAGGATAATGAAAGTGAAAGCAAAAATATTCTAGGAACAAATTTTAGTCCTTATAGCACATTTTCAAGTACACTAAAGTGGAAAATGTGTCGGAAACATAGACAATTTTATTCAACTGTAAACAATTTATACATTCTGCATATTAATATACTTGTGAACGGATTATTAAACAAGTGAAAGAAAATTTAAAAATGATTTTAAATATTAACTAATTGATAACATATTTTCATTGCAGTGAATTTTGGTAATGCAACAGCGCTTTTTCTAGGATGTTCTATCATAAGTGGCGTAGAATTGATTTACTATTTCTGCATTTACTTGCCACAACGCCTTTGGAGAGCACACAAAAAGTCAAGAAATAGTTTCAAAGTATCTGCAGAACGCGAAGGCAAAGTGTTTGAAAATTGGATGACGAAAATATATGGCAATAACGGAGCATTTAAAGAACCTAGAGATATTAAACAAAAGGAAAGCGAAAACCTAAAAACCATTTATTTTTAAATTAAATACCCCCCCAAAAAAGAAAACAATAAAACTAAATAGCTACATTCGAGTAGCTAAAATAAATTGCTAAAATTGTACATAAAGCATTTAAGCAAAACAATAAACTGAATATCAAAGAATCATTGTTTCGTGTTATTTCCTTCAGCATTGTTTTTTTTCCTACTAAATAAATAAATAAATACTTTTTTTTAGCTTCCCTCCACTACCATCAACTTTTAAATAAACTCTGCGGTGGTTCACTTCACTGCCATTTAAGTCGTTGCCTGCAGCCGTTTCATTGTTATTGCTTTCTCCTGCGCTCGCCCAGCCGTTTTAGGATTTCGCTGCCATCGCCATGACCACTGCCTCTGGAAATGATTTGCCGCTTGCTAGTAGAGTTGTTGCCGCTGTAGCTGATGCTGATGCTGCCGCTATTGAAGCTGCCATTTTCACGGTCGACTGCAACATGAATGAGGTGGATTTCATTGGGCAAAGGCTACATCACCATCATGGTCATTGTCATTGTCATTGTCACCGACAGTGTCGCGCAACAACTTCTAGATTTCACGCTGTTGCTGTGCGCTGAATGGTTTGACCTCTTACTTTAAATCTTCTTTTTTTCTTGTGCTGTCGTTGTCTTGAAATTGCGCTGCCACTAACATTTGTACAGCAACTTCTATCTAAATATACATATACATACATAATTACAGTGACTCAAACAAATGACCGCCTATTGATAATTTTTAAATATTCGTAATTTTTCTATAAAATACCATCCACGCTTTAAATAAAAGAATATACATAAATAACAGTTTCAAACTTTATACAAAATTTAGGAAAATTCAAAAAATTGTTATCAAAATTTCAAATTTTAAACTGAATCTTTGGAACATTTTTGGGTATGCAGTTTTATAGCCCGTACAATTTTAGTCCCATGAAGTGCAAGTTTCAACCGGCTAAAAAATCGCTTTGATTTTTGCGATTTTTTTTTTGCAGACTGCTTTTGCGTTTTTTTGTTAATTAAATTTTTTTTTTAATTTTGTTGCTTACGGTCTCCCGCATTTTATTTAATAAGAATTCATGCTTATACGGAAAAAAGTGCAAAAGTCCGTGACCAAAAAAAATTCTCAAAAATCAACGGGATTTTTTAGCCGTTTGAAACTTGCACTTGGTTGGAAAAAATTGGATGAGTTGTAAAACTGCATACCCAAAAATGTTGAAATTTTGATGACAATTTGTTGAACTTAGCTATATTTTGTATAAAAAGTTTAAAACTGAGATTTATATATTTTTGGGTAAACCTTGGATGGTATTTTTGTAGAAAACTAACAAAAAACTTTAGCTCATAAAACATTACGAATATTTAAAAAGTCCACACGTGGTCATTTGTTGGGGTCACTGTATGTACAAACATATTTCAGCACCGTCTCGAGTGTTCTGGTGACAAGTTTCCCTTCTTTCATATTCGCTCAAAACTTGTATTTTTTTTTTTTAGTTTAGTTATGGTTTTTATTGCATTTTATTGTTATTTCCAGCTTTACTATTCGTCTGCTTTGCTTTCAGACGCTTTTTTCTTCACCTCAAAGTTACTTAGTTGTGGTATCACAATAAAAGGTTTTTTGGTAGAAAGTTTTCAGCAGTGATTGTTTACTGTTGTTTGACCGAAGAAAGGTTTTAAGCGGCGAAGTACCTACTTGTACTTGTTTAGTATTTAGTGAAAAGATTGTTAAAATGTTAAGAACAAAACAGAGAAAATTGACATAGAAGTACGAGTTCTTTTACTTGCTTGCAACGAAAGCAAAAAACTTTGATGTCTGTGGACTTTGTGTAGACATTGGTCATTGCTCTTCGGTGTTCTGACTTTCCTGCATCTGACGTGCATCTTTAATCACTATTTCCACAGTGATGGTCAGTACAAAGGTTGACTAGCCCGGAAGTAAAACTTGCCTTGAAGAATCTAAATTAAATTTTTATTCATCTTCTTATTTGGCGCTAAAAACGTCTTCCGGTTTAGGTCGAAAGCAAAAAAGCTTCGACAATTTCCTTTGTCTTTTGCAAAGTTTCGCCAGTTATTCACACCAAGTACTATACACAAGCCCCATGGCATTTCTTCTTATTAATTGGCGCTGTAGTTGTCGAAGCGATTTAGTGCCCACCCTATTTTTCATGTAAAGCTTTTTACTTATTTCTTCGGTATCAAATAATGTCAGGTGTTGGTGCAGTCCAGTGTTGCCACACATGGGCTTTTCCTACGTTTTTTTTCCATTTGGTAGGTGGTAGGCTTGATTGGGTTTTAATAGTTATTTGCGAAAAATAGAAAATACATTTGTATCTCTAAACATTTTAGCAACCTTTCTTACACGAATATTTTACCGGTGCGTTCGTATAACGGCGGCCGCAAACATGTAAATATACCTGATTCCTAAGCATTATTATTGCCAATATACAATATGAGCATCCATATATACTTTATGGCGTACGTGGACCAAGATTCCAGAAAAGCTTACCAATGGGCTTGAATCCAAGCATACTCCAGGCGGAGCTCTTCGCAGTCGAATTCTATGTTCGCGAATGTCATCGTAGAAGGCAAATGCGGCCAGAATAAATATCATGTCAGATATTCAGGCAGCGTTAAGATACTTAGACTCTTCTAAAACGGCACCAAGGCTTGTGAACTCTTGAACCACTTGGGAGCGCACGCAGTGGTGGGTTCCGCGACATAAAGGGTTTGATGGCCACGAAAAGGCTGACTGTCTCGCAAAGCGTGGAGACCAACTGAGCTTGCATATTCCCGAGCTATTGCATATTCTGTGGTAAATCTAAAGGATACGCTGCAAAACTACTCAGTAGCTAGCTGGGAATAATCTCAGATTGCTGCCCACTGGTGGAAGTCAAAGAGAATAAGACAGGAGGAACTCCGCAATAATCTTTTGAACTTAGAACTCTTGCTGGCTGCCTGACAGCATACTGCAAGTTAACGTACCATTTGAATTAAATAGGTTTCTGTAGAGACGGACTGCAAGTTTTGTGGTCTGGTGGAGGAAAACCCAGAGTATATATTGTATGTACCAGCCCACGAAGCATGAATCATAGATTGATACAACTTGGAGAACGATTATCTTCTCCATCTAAAATTTGGAACATGAAGTCATCCAAAGTGATGAGCTTTTTAAATAGCTTAAGGTTGGAGTGAATACAATTACGGTTTATCATAATATATCTTCTTAGGCCGCAGCTCGAGTATCTCCGACGTAATAATAATAATAATATCGTCACTAAGACGAATGTGAAAAAGGACGCGTGAAAAAACTTCGGCGAAGAAAGACGCGTAAACATGGATTCAACATCATTCCGGAAAAACTCTTTGGGGAATTCAAAGAGGTTAACGAGTCTTTCTTTGCCGTCACCTACATATGTACGTTGAGTCTTTCTTCGCCGAAGTTTTTTTACGCGGTCAACTTTACAGCTCGCGTCTTTATTCGTATCTAGTGACGATATGAATGTAAGTGTGTTTTAGTTGTACTAAATTTTGTGTTATCTATAATTTTAATAAACTTGCCATTGAAAAAAAAAAATATATATATTTAAAGCTAAAAAAAAATTTTGGTACGTTTTGGTTGTTTTTGGTAGTAAATTTTGGTTGGGAAAAAATTCGTCTGTGGCAACACTGGTGCATTCGCTGCTTCTTAAGCTTATAGTGAGCTTATCTCTCCATCCTTACCGGTTTTCCCCGCTATGAAAGCTCAAACGAATATTATTGGGCACGGAGCTTTTATTGACAACTCCTATAGCTTTTTGATAAGATGGATTAAAGTGCGTAACTTTCATTGTTTGGGAGCACACTTGGTATTGCTTGCTCAGTTCAATAATATCAAGACAAATACTAGTGCGATTCATAAAACGCGGCAAAGTGGCATTTTTGGCGAAATCGCAACGACCTATCGCAGCTCCGGATTTCAAATGTAAAATTAAAAAAAATGCCGCGCGTAAGTAAAAAAAGATAAGTTTTTACAATTATATCTCAAAGCAGCCTTATACCATGTCCCCACCAAAAAGTTAACCATCTCAAATCGAACTTAACCACATCACTAACTATTGCTGTCCACACTGCGGTTTGAGGTTTATAAAACAGTACAAATGTAAAGAACAGTGTTCGGCCCACAAATCGATTCAGGACTAAATTACTGCAAAAATCGGAGCAAAAACCAATTTTCCGTACTAGATTGAATTTTTTATTTTTGTTTCTGACATTAACTGTTTGACTAAAATATTTTCTACTCATGCAAAATAAGAACGCGAGGCAATATAAGGATAATATATTACATATTTAGGTAATTTTTAGCATTTTAAATATAGTAGAACGTATCTAACACTTAATTTTTTAAAAAGCAAACCTTTTCTACTTTATATAAATTTCATTCCTCATATATTTTTTAACAACTTAAGTAAAGTTCTGCATCCGCCAATTTGTGCAGCCATACATCAAAGAATAACGATGTTACTTTATTGACGCATTGCTATGAAAGAGTTACTTTTTAACAGTGAGATTTGGCTAACTTTCAATTTTTTAACTGAAACCGGTGGTGAACACTCAAAAAACGGCACCAAGAGGGGCATAGCATGAATGAAAAAAACGGAATAGATTTGAAGTCAAGCGGAGTAGAGGAGTAGATTTCAAATTTTTTCAAAAATCGGAGTAAATCTAATTGATTTTAGTGGAGTCCAAACACTAGTAGGGAACGAATTCTTCACATTTTAACGCTAATGACCCACAGATGGCGGGCAAACACAGGGTTGTATCAGACTTTCGACGTGGTTTCGAGTTGGTTAGCTTTTAACCATCTCAGTGAAATGGTTAAGTGCTGTCATTTTTATATGGCGAAACTACGCTAAATCAAGTGGGTTATCGGGATAACCAACTCAATAGCCATAACTACGTGGTTAGCTTCGGTGGGGACATGGTATTAGGTGATGTACTTTTTGTTGAAGTATTCGAAGACAATAAAGAAACGTGTGTTCGCGACTTTGTCTTTGCAATGAATGCCAACTCAAATTATATGGCAACGTCGCAATTTTGTTGCAAGAAAGTTTCCATACAAAAGTAATTAGTTGTGTCGCAAAAGGTGATAAATTTTGCAAAAAAATGCCACATTTGCATCAACTTTGCGACGTTTCATGAATCTCCCACTACTATTCTTGCAGATGTTAATGTACGAAGCCGTATTTTTTTGGAGGATATATTCCACTCAGAACTTTCGCTAAAGCGAAACCTAGTTTTCGTGTTGTCGAAAAACGGTCTTTACTCCTTCAAGGGTGGCTTGCGTTTACGGGTTGGTATGAAACGATACTATGCAGATATCAGTATTTTTACTTGGAAGTACAGCATCGAAGGTAAGCATCGATACCTAATAAATATCGGATCTAAAGTATCGATACCTACTCATATTTCTTATGAACTAAACTTAAATTTTTTTTATTTTTTTATGTCATAAGTTAACCATTCTCCGGGAATCCTTAACTGCAAACTGTGTATATGTTTAATGATAAATAGTATTTAACACAGACAATTGATTGCAAAAAAGAGTA